TGTGGATAAGGTAGAAGCACACATATATAAAGTAACTAATTGAATAAAGTATGAAGTTAGAAACTTAGTTCCTAATTGAATATTAGAAGGTTGTAGTATTTGAAAGGTATTTTCTGGTATGATCCCATAGGAGGTTTGATTAAGCTAGCTAATAATGTCATGGTAGACTTATACCCAACTATTCTACCCTGATAATAGTAATAAATTTCTTTAAGTGACAACATTCGAGAAACCAAGTCGTTGTGTTATGGATTGATATCTAATTTACTGTTGATTTAGCAAGCCCAAAAGGTCACCCTATGTTATTAGTTTGGTATGGTCAAGCCACTTAAATTGTTAACCCTATATTGAAAGAGATTTTTTAGTTGAAATGCATAATGATACATGTAATTGCTATCTTGTATGTATTGTGTTGTTGTGATGAAAAAAATTTGAGTTTTTGATATAGTGATATTCAAGTTGATATTGTATTGTAATAAACTGATTTGTTTATGTCAATATATGTTGGTTGTGTTATCATGCTATATGATGATACTGTTGAAGGTGTAAGGAAGATTTGTAGATATATTAAATGTTGTTGATGTTTCATGTTGTTTACATGTTATTTCTTTAAACTCTAGCTTACCTTTAAGTGTCTTCCATGTGATTTGAACTACAATGATCATACGTGATATGTGAGCAAAGTAAGGATAGGTATGAGGTGTTACATTTGAGGTGACTATTAGGAGGATGGTGAGGTTGTTTATATTTTTGGATGCTACCACCATGTAATACTTTGTATTGGAGTTGTTTGATCGACAATTTAGGTTATATAATTTGCTTTTACTGGATTATTGTATTTATATCACATATGGTTGTATAGTTATTTCACTTTCACATAAATAATATATAGTACATATTCAGTTATCAATAGACTTATATATAACTCTAACTTATTAATTGTTCTATTGTTGTCAATTATAAGTCGTTAAATATATGGATTAAGGCAGATCATTACATTTTTTTTAAATATTTTATAATTTTTTTTCTTCAAAATGATACAAAACTAGATAATCTAGATTCCAAATCTAAAAATTTTTAAAATAAAAAATTATATAAGAATATTGAAGAACTTAAATCAAAATAATAAAAATAAAGATATTTGTCGTCATGAAATCGAATATTTTAATGATAGAAATTTATATCCATCTTAAACAATATAGTCAATCTAATTTATTAAACATTTATAATATAATAATACGAAATAATTTTAGAAATGATTTATAAGATAAATTATTAAATAATAATATTAAATAAAAAAAACTATTGTAAATAGTCCATTGATATCTTGATAATCTTGTAATAAAAAAATAAAAATAATACTTAAATAATTAAGGAATTTTTATTTATTTGACACTTAAAAAAATTTAAAGTTGATCGTCATTCACTATATATTTATATTATTTTATAACATGCTTGGAAATAATTTTGAGCCGACGTGATGTGGTGTAAATATTTTTAAGCTATTAATATTATATTTTTTCATCACTACAAGATTCTGACGTGAAAATTAATAAATATATGCGTTTACAACGCCTTTTCAAACACGTAAGGTAGAAGAAAAAATTGTCAATCTCTTAAAGTTCAATGGTTAAGAAACTAATCATAATTTTTTAAAAAGTTATTTTTAAAATATTTTTAATAAAAGAATTTTATTTTATTCTTTAATCAATATTTTAAATCAAGACAACATTCTTAAGGCACAAGTGTCAACCGCATCAAAGTTCATTGGTTAAAGAAATTATATTTAATTACCTTTTGATATATATATATATATATATATATATATAATTTTATATATTTATTTCTTAATTTTTATAATAAAAATATTTTATTTATTCTTTATACATATTAATTTTTCAGTTCTTATACTTTTATAAACTTAGTGTGTGTAGAAATAGATGGTAAACATTAAAAAGAAACAAAAAGTGAGATGTACAAAAATTAAAATGAAATATTTCTTACTATTATAAAGATAAAGTCAAGAAAAGTACAAGAATGAAATGCAAGTGAATGAAGAAATTATTTGCAAAGTAGAGACTAAATTGAAGGTAAGGGGTTAGAGTTTTGGGCGTGAAGAAAAGAAATCATAAAAAGTAAAAATTCGGGGGACTGATTTAGAAATTTTCATGAAATAAATCCAAAATAGCCCTTGAAACTTGTAAGCGTTTTCGGCGTGAAGAAAACCACTTCCTTTTTCTTGTAACTTCTGCTGAGTACATATCACAAACACAGAGTTGCAGTGTTTCGCTTTCGCTTTAGATTTCTGATTCACAAAACTTGGTACTTTGTTGTGTCAGAAATGAGTGACCCCAAATATGCCTATCCATACCCTGCCCAACACCAAGGTAACACACATAACTTTCATCCTCTTCTCTTTTCTGGGATATATAAAAACTTCATTTTTTGGTTCACTGCTCTTTCTTTATTTACAAAATTTTGTTGGCAGGGTATTATCAAGGTCCTCCAGTCATGGCACCCCCACAATATTATGCTGCTCCACCACCACCTAGAAGACAAACTGGATTCCTTGAGGGATGGTTAGTTTAGTTTCCATTTTTTATTATCACAAGGAATTTAAAAAAGAAAGAATTTTCTTTTTGTCAACTTTCTATTACTTTGTGTAATTGACCCAATTCTTCTTTCTTATTTCCTCAGTCTTGCAGCTCTGTGTTGTTGCTGCCTCATAGATGAGTGCTGCTGTGACCCCTCAATCATATTTATCAGCTGATAGCATCAATAATCAAAGTTGCTGCAGCAATTAATCTAGTGGAAAAAAATAAAATAATAAACAATATGTAGTGTGATGTGATGCTTGTGTAGTTGTATATTGTTACTCTGTCTACAACTTATTACTTATGTTGGTGTTTGATTGATCATTAACATGGTTTCTTTCCGATCCACTTAGTCTTTCATGTTCTTGGTGTGGTTCTGCCTCTCCGGTGATTTGAATTGTAATGTGGAAGACAAACAATTATTGTGAATTCAATTGGGTCCCTCTGTTCCCCCAATTATCTTGTTCTTTTATTTATTTTAATTTCGGGTTGTAATATGCAGTCTTTTTTCCCTTCAAATCAAATATGACAATTTTTTTTAACTATAAATTATCTATATAAATCGAAATATAATTTATATAATTAAAAATATCTATTTATATAAATTTTAAATATAATTTATATATTTAAACATAATATTTGTTTACGTATAATATATTTTAAGTTAATATTTAAAAAATTAATTAAGTTTAATCGATTGAAATTAAACTTTCACTCAAATTAGAATCAAGTGACCCGTAAAACTCCGTAGCAAAATATAGGAGATCATAAATGCAGATTGCTCGTGACTAAGCATGAACCGAGACAAAAGCTTTTGTGAAACCTTTTGTAAGTAATCAATGAACTCTGCGATGCATGGCACTAATATTTTCATTGATCATGTGAATGTGAGTTGCAAGTTGCAAGTTGCAATGCACTACTCTATTTTTTAAATATTTCTCAAATTCAAATGCTGAAAAGGTAATACAAGTTTCCTCCTTTTGTTGTGTTAATTAAAAATTCATCTCATACTTATTTTGTACCTGCATATTATTTGTTAAGTGAATATTTACAAATTTTTATTAGTATTCGTGAATGCCTATGAATATCTATAAATGCTTTTGAATTCTTGAGAAATTAAAAACAAAAAAATTTAAAATGATTTTGGCTTGCATTTGACACAAATTCTGTGGAAATAATTCTTGAATTGTGTTCTTAATATTTGAAACTATTTTGGCGAAATTTTGTTACTTCCCAAGGTAAACTTATCATCTTACTAAAAAAAAAAAAATCACTAATTCATATAAAATATATCACATTATATACCAATTTACCAAATGATGAACACAAGTAAAAAATAAGTAATTCTATTTCATTAGTCCAATTGATCTACAAAAGTAAAAATAAGCATATTTATCTCATATGTAACATTCATACTAAATAAATAGATATTATCATACTCATTCTTGCTTCATTGATAAGTTGATAAGAAAAAATTATTTATTTTCAAGAAAAGAAACTCTTATCTAATATTTATAGTTACCTGTTTAAATTATTTATTTATTATCTATGACAAATTTTATCTAAAAATATAGTTTAAGTTTTTATCATCCCTAATTACCACCGGTAATGTATATGGACTCCATTTCATCATGGGGTTTCTTTGCACGATGCATTTCAAATAGTTAGTTTTATACCAATTGTAAGGAAGTGTTGTCCTATTGATGATCAAATACAACAAAATTTAGAGGAGAGAATACAACACAAATTTTGCCATGATTTAACTCTTGCCGTTTACATCTACAATAAGAAGAAAAATAATTATCGAAAGATTATGATATAGCATTTTCAGTCTCTTACATTACTTGCAAAAATTCAAGTTCACAAGATGATCAAACTCAACGAATTATGTTCTGATTTGTGACCCAATAAAAATTTACTGTATGAATATTTGTTTTAAAATAATTTATTATGAAAAAACATATACTTAAATTATTATCATTTAAAAATAATATTTCATCTGTACATGTGTCAAGCTTGAACTAATACGTAAATGTTGGCAAATGGCCAAGGGATCATCAGCATTTTTTCAAGTTACAAATTTGGTTATCAAATTTAAAATCCACAAAAATTCCTTATTGAAGGAGAAAAACATTGCACCAGAAGTAGAATTACCACATGAAAATATCTTAATATCCTTACTTACAAGAGCATGCATAAATAGAAAAGCACAAGAACAAACACAAACTCACTCAGAATTAAACATGAGTCATTATCTCAGTTGATTATTACACTTTCAACTCTCTCCTGCTTATTTTTCAACCTTTTCAGTCCAATAAAGACATCAATGGGAGAGAAACGAAGTTGAAAAGCTCAGACACGCGTTAATATATATATATATATATATATATTTTACACTGAATCATATCTTTTAAAGTTACTTATTTTATTATTATTTCATTAATAAGTAACTGACTTGTCACTATTAAAAGATATGATTGGTTGTCAGTGTAAAAAAACTTTACACAGACAATACTCTATATAAATACACACAATGGTGACATGCATAATCATGAAACATGATGCTTCATGCAGTGATTGCTGCTTCATTCACATACTTTAGCTCCTCGTTGAAATGTTCATCAATACCACATTTAGTATCCACAAGATCACCACCACAACCTCCCCCACAACCACCACAGCCACTACTCTCAAGCTTGTTTCCACAGCTTCCTCCACAACCACCACCACAACCTCCACAACCACCACCACAACCACCGCAACCACCACTCTTAATCATAGCTCCACAGCCTCCACCACAACCACCATCACAACCACCGCAACCACTACTCTTCACCATACTTCCACACCCTCCACCACAGCCTCCGCCACAACCAGCACCACAGCCTCCGCAGCCGCCACTTTCCACGGCATTCCCACAGCCCATGCCACAGCCTCCACTGGAAAGTCCAGGCTTATTTTTTATCCCATCATCTTCATTGCACACGTTAGAACTCAACCCCATTCCATTCAAGACTGTCCTTTCATTTTCCTCATTTGGTCCATTCATCTTCAAATCTTTGCTCATAGCAATGATGCCTTCATATCCTTCCTTTTTCATTGTATTAGAGGCAATAAAAGCCAAAATGATTCCAGGCAGCACCATCCACTTTTCCTTTGCCTATTCAGAAAACAAGGAGGAAGCAAAAAAGCATAAAATAAAGTAACTAATGTAAAACAAAAATAAGATATGCTAGCAAAACTTTTTCTAACACTATTATTAGTCAAACCTTCTTTAACATCTCATTTAATAAATCTCTACAATTTAGTGGATAAGATCCACAAAATTTGTGATTTTCAACCAACAAAAGAGTGTTAGAATGAGTTCGCTAGCATTTCTCAACATGCCTCTACAGAAAATGTTTAACATATTAGTAAGAAAGTAAGGTACCGTGACAAGTCTAGATCTCAAGTCAAGTAATGCTACTGCTTTGCCATAAGGTTCTTCTGTGGAGAATTCAACTGCTGTTAGGAAGTTCATTTCATTTCCCCGTCTCCCATTGTGTCTCGGTTCATAGTCTAGCTTTCTTCCGGGAAATATTTTCACCTGTACGAAAAATCATATGAATTTAATATTAGAACTCCAAATCCATCTCATTTTCTCGCATGTTCATCTTTATTGGTCTTATGTCCAGTGCAGCTAATGAGTTCCATGCTATTGAAAAATGTACTGGTTTTTGGATTAGTGAACAAACATCAAACGAAGAGCCAATGGTTACTGGTTATTGGCATGACAAAAAATGGAATAATTTAGAATAAATGCATACCGTCTTGGCACCACTAAGCTCGAAGAGATGGCCACAGTCTGTGCATTTGTTTGGAAGATGAAGCAACCAAAGATTCTCCAAAACAGACCAACCATTTTCTGTAAACTCAGCAAGAGTGCAACTTTCGCCAGACTTCATGAGGCCAACAACCTCCTTTCCAGGGTTTCCTATGTTCTTTGCATTCTTCAAATCCCTAAAATGTAATCAGAGATAGGAATGACCATTATTGAACTTAATTAATTAAGAAGAATTCATAACAAGTGACGGTAATTCTCAATAATATATACAAAATAGATTATGTGGAATTCAAACATGTATGACAAACAGAATTAGATCTTTATTCCATGACTAATCAGCTTTCTTTAAGCAGATAATTCTGCTCAAGTGGTTCAAATGCAATTTTAGTATCCTCTCTCTTTTCTAAACTTATTTATCTACCCTCTTTGTAATATATAATAGTTATATGCCTAAATGAATTTATGGACTGATGATCTCATTTTGGAACCGCAACTTGTAATCATAATTATGCTTGAAGGTTATACAAATTGTGTCTATAAATTAGAACCCATCATCTCTCAACTGTTATTATATAATAGGATACACTGAATGGCAAACCTCAAACAATATCTACATACAGAAAGCTAAAGTGGCAATCAAAATGGCTTTCAATTTACACATTTACGAGCTTTTGTGACTAATCAACATAATTGATAGTCCAGGAATTAGATGACCGCAAGCACTTTTTAGTTGGATCACCATTCAAATGCAATCAAACAAGTTGATATTTGAAGACACAAGTCAGGTAGCAAAATAAATGACGTTTGAAGCAGTAACAACTAACACCACACATATATCACCTATAGACCAGTCCTCAACATCATAAGAAAATACATTTCAACAGGGAGCTTCTATTGATATCTGGCATAAAGTGCATAGACTGTACCTCATTTGAAGGCTGATGATTCCGGTGCCATTTTCACTTGTGACATGTGTCCAGCTCTTAACATGCTGTGGCTTAACAGGAAGGTTGAAGAGACAGGTATTTTTGGAAAATGGACGAGACTGAGTCATTTCTACTGTATATGGGGAAGGAACCGGAACAGTAAATGAGATGGCTACTCGTAACAAGATTGGCTTTGAGCTCATGGTACCAGAACTTGGCATCAATTCCAACCATTTCTCAACATGGAGTTTTGAAACTGGGTCAAGATAGTTTTTCATAGAGAAAGAAGCAGAACCAAGTGTCTTTGTTGATTTTCTTATTGATAACTTGGACGTAGTGGAGGATATGAGTTCAAAAAGCAGCTCTCCTGTAGGTTCACACTGGAAAGATGCAACCTGTTTCTCTCTAGACACTGATAAAATACTCAGTCTCCTTTTAGCATCAAAGAATGCATCAGGCCGTGATTTGGAAAATAAAACATAGAGATCTCCTTCTTGTCCCTCTGGTAAGTTTTTAACCCCAATGAACTCCAAGAAAACCTGGTGGGATGAAAGAGGAAATTACAAATACAATCTCGTATAAATAGAAGCTGTTTCAGTGATAGTATACACATGCAGAAGAGTACAATGTGGCAAGAAGCTGATTCTAAAGAAGTGATAGTTATTTTATTTTTAGTTGCTAAGTTGCATCTGCTTTGCTATCCTCAACAACTATGGTTCCATGTCAAAGCAGACACACATTCTCAGAGATAGCAATTGTTAGAGGCACTAGTATAATACAAATAGGCTCTCCTTGTCTGTATTTTTATATACACCACAAGAACAGTAATATTTTGCAGCATCGCGTGGATCATTTCATTATGTCAACAGGCCCCCATAAGCTCTAGAACACAGATATGATGACTAACTTGCTGCTTACAAAATCTTAACCCTGTTGGAGCCTTTATAAACAAACCTTCCAACTGGCCTCGATTCAAACAGTTTAGATTCTTATTATGAGGAAAAGCTGCAAGCCACTGAACTATTGTCGGGATAAAGGAAACATTTGCGCTAACATTGACATCATGATACAATTACAATGTAGCAATACAAACTTCTCATGACATGTGGCATGGACTTATATTTGAATATTCTTGTACATGACTCAATAAATGTTGCACGGAGTTGTGAATACATGTATGCACATAATTCAGAACTAGAGCTTAAAACATGTAAAATACTGCACATAAGAGGAGATCTTAAAGTACCTCCATAACTTTCCGATCTGGTAGTGAAATTTCTTGTGGGTACTCATTCGAAGAAATAAACTTCTTGCAAGTCATGCTAGATGAAAAAGGGTTACTAGTGATAGGAGATGGCGCATTACCCCTATACATTGCTCCAGCCTTCCAATATCTTGTACCAAATGTGACTTCCCACTGTTTGGTGGTTCCAGAAAAACCAACATCCAGTTTCTTTCCTTTAGTTCTGTCTGAGTCTGTATCATCATGTTCCAATATTTTTCCAAGTGCTTCATTGAGGTCTTTACAGTAAGAAACTGGATGTGACTGGTGAGAGTGCCAGATTAGGTCAATATCATATGTCGGAACACAAAAGCGTTTTATACCCTTTTCCTTGTTTCTCTTGATGAGATACAGAAACCCTTTGTATCTGGCCACAGCTTCCTCGATAAAGAGATCATTATTCACGTGGGGTCTTGATACCTATCACAAAGACAACAGATATATAATCCCTCAAGATGCAGCATTATATACTAGCCATGCACAAGAAAGACCATTGGAAAATGAATTTCACAAAATTGTTTGTTATCAAACTACACCAAACAAACAAATAACTGAACAGTGTACTCATACATCACCACATATGATATTAACGTTCTTTGGAGATGCTTCCATACAATAAAGGATTTCTGGAATAAATTGTTTGAACTCAAGATTTTTCAAAACGAGGTATTTTGAAACCACATACAAAATATAGTCAATCACAAATTCATAAAATTGAAGATGAGTCAGGTTGAGCACACAGCCTAAACCATGCTAAAATCCAAATCAGGGATTTGGAAAACAGAGACAAAGGTCACAGACCAGCATTAAGTATACTAAATATTTTAACTTCGTTGGTTGTGCAATGTGAAATGACACAACTGGACAAACTCTAACTCTCCATTACCTGGTAAAAGAACGGACTCTGCCTCTTAGCAGCTGAAATCAGATCATACTTGGTATATTTTTCAAGCCTAGAAATCCTTGCAGACATATCCTCTGGGAGAAGATTAATTAAATCAGCATTGTAGGGTTCATGAGGGTACATTTTATTCCAGATTTCTTCAGTTTGCCTGCCATAAATTCCTTCTACAGTAGAGACAACACCAAAGTTGTCAAGTACCCGTCCGTAAAGTTCCTCGCAGTCAGTTTTGTACCTAACCTGTGTAATAGAATGGAACCAAATTTTATTACTAGTTTACTCAACCCAAGCAAACGAACAACATCGCTAATAATCAGGAAAAAAAATATTCCTGGTATGAAGCCTACCGGATTGAGCCTGTGACAGTGCCAAACCCATTCACAGTCAAGAGGAACTACCAAAGGCCCTTCAAAAATCCGAGACTCAGAATGCTTGGCAAGCAAGGGAAGCCAACAAGCATTGTACCTGATCACACACTTCCATTTTTGTAAAATCAACAGAAGAAACTAAGATTGATCTTTACAAGAAAAATTCCATGACAGCTACATCTGAATTTCATTGCAAAGCTGTCATGGGGTAATAGTGCAGATAAATTATTTCACTTTTTTATCATAATCCATAATACAGGAATGTAAAGATGCTTCATAAGGCCATTTATAAAACATTCTTGACTCATGCTTAGTAAAAATAAAATGAAAGTAAACAACTGTTATTTGTAACTAGATTAAGCATGAAACTTTATCTGCATCAAATACAAGAAATACTTCATAGAATTCTCACCTATAGATAGCCCTCTCAAGGGTAGGGCCATCATAGAGGTGACGGTTCCTATCAACAGCTGCAAGGAACTGAAGCTGCTTTTTTGCCACAACCACGAGGTCCACGCTTATTGGAATCTTTTGGGCTTCATTCCACTCCATTTCTTGTTGTGGTTCCATCTCTCAACTTATCCTGAAAAACTGCAATCTTCCAGAAACTTTATTGGTGTAAGTTAAAGTATCCTTTATGCATATTTCATATTAGTCTCAATTTTTGCAGTCAGAATGGAAAATTCATCCGCTAGAAAACAAGCCCCACAAACATTTTCCCCCTATTTCAAGTTCTCCACAGTTATCTGAATGAATCTTAAAAGAAAAAAAGTGCCATGTTTAAAGAAGGGTCTACGAGAACAAACACAAAAGAAAGATGCTACTATCTTCGCTTTACAAACCGATTTTATTCGGTTGTGATAGACACACATCCAATTATAACAGTTTGGTCAACGAAAAAATTTGGATAGAAAAATGAAGGAAACGTCTAAATCTTTCATTAATGCTTACGTAGCAAAAACAAACATATTACGATCATCCACAGCAAACACCAATATACAAGTCCAAGGTATCAACACCACAGAAAGTGAAACAAAGATTACAGGCATTTGGGAGTAGCAGTTACCCAGAAAGCGAGGCAGATATGGTTTAGCTACAGCCTGCAGACACGAAAATTCCTGAAAAGGAGGATCTGTATCCGAAGAAGCTTATGTGCTTTTCTGTTTCCCTGACTTTGCCATAAGCATTGTAACTTGTAAGTTACAACTAGTGTGTGTGTCTTATGTGTGTTATAGACATGTACATTGTACTGCACCTGAAACTAGTTTTAAGGATGTACGTCTGATCTAATTAATAGTACTAGTACAGCTGAATTTGAGTTATCCACAATTTTGACTTATAGCTAAAAAAACCAACGATTTCCATTTTTTATATAGTAGATAAGGAAATGTATACAAATAATAAAAAAGAAGATAAGGAATATATTATTTAACTTTTAATAAAAAAATATCATTACTTTTATTTGAGGTTTAAACAATAGTAGTAGGTTGTTGAATTTTTAAAAAAAATTTAATTAGGTTCTTAAATTTAAAAATATGTATATAATTGAGTGATTTTTTTAATAATTTTTTTGTTATTGAATCTCAGAAATTAGTAAAACTACTCTAAATTATTACTCTCTTTTTTTTTTGGCAATTTTAAATCACTTAATCTCTGAAATTTATACACCTACTGATGTATTAAAGACACGACAAACACAAGTTGGTCCTAAAAAAAATCTTGATGCTATGCAAATAAGGTTTCACTTGATTCAATTTTGAAATAAAAAAAAAATAAATCACAAACTTTATTAAATGCTTTTGGTGGGTGGAAAATAAAAATAAAAAAATGCTCACACCTACCAATGTGTTAAAGTCACAACAAACACAAGCTGATCCTAAAAAAAACTTAGTTCTATGCAAATAACGCTTTACTTGACTCGATTTTGAAATAAAGAGAACTAAATCACAATAAATAAATATATATATATATATATATTATTTATTATTATTTACATATTGTTCACGCTTGTTTTATAAAAATAATTTTCACCAGTTTTTTTTATTTAATTATATAAATACATTTTACTTGTAGACAAATTATAATAAATATTAAATTACTAAATCATACAAGAAATAAACTAAAAATAAACCTAAAAACATCTTTGATAATGATTTTTATAAATAATTTATTAAGATTCTTAATTATTTTAAAGGAAATTCATTATATCACGCATTATTTTTAAGTAACTCACATTACATTTTTTAAATTTTGTTTAATGGTGAAATTTTATAAGCAACTCACACTTTTATATTTTTTTTTATTGTTTACACTCTTTTTAGTCGTAAAGAAGTGGCAAAGAAGTAGGAGAAAATAGAGGAAATTAAAAAAAATATATGGTGCATGGATAATGTATACAACATCGATAATGTAAATTTTAGATTATTATGCACAAACAAAAATGATCCGTTCACCTTTCACTTATCTGACACCTAATAAGAGAAAAGAAAGAAAAAAAATGCTAATGAAATATTTGTAATAAAGAATGGTTCATGTATCACCACTCTTCACTCAAATATGTCACACAATAATTGAACTGCCTCAAGTCTACAACCCTATCGTTATCTTCGAAGATCTGAATTCTATTTCTTGAAATTTCTTTTCATATACTTTATAACATTACAGATATTTATGATCAAATATCCTTACTATTACTAATAATACAAAACTTGGCATGGTTCATCTCTTTTCCTTTCGTGTACCAGACAGCTAGAAAGGTGAACCGTTGCAAAATGCTTAGTCTATATATATCTTCTATTAGAAAATGACCTTTGGCATGACATGACCAAATGAATATATAGATATAAATATATCAGAAAACGATAAGGCCGAATAATACGTTAAAGGGCAAGGTTGAAGCCTGATGCTTCACGTAATTCAGCTGAGTCTTGCAATGAAAACCGATGAGTTGATACTGTAACATGATTTCAGTTCTGTTTTCCATCACTATCTACACGAAAAGAATAAATGGGTAACTCTGAAACTGGCAAGTCAATAGTGGAAGTAGAATAAAACTAGTAAATGACAACTTGAAAATCAAGTCATTTAATTAGTGATTTTTAACTGCTTGTGTGCATAGACTAATAACTTCTTATTAACTAATTTGCTACCACCATCTTCCTCTGATTTTAAATTTGAGAAAATGTACCAAAGAAACATTGAGGGTTGTTTATACATAGAAGGACAATTTACTACCTACTGATATCGGTTCTATTATTCTAGGATAAACCTCAAAGTGGTGGATGCTTTAAAATTTACACCTATGAGTACAATACCACTATACCACAATCCTCAACTTTGCAATGAAAACTCTGAAATATTTTAAGATCTAACAGAAAGGTATTACAAATCTTTTGAAGGGTAGTAACTTCATTAGTTTTTCTCGCATTGGGTCGTTCTCTCCACTTCAACCCTTCCTTCTCTCGATCCAAAAATGACATGGAACAGGAAACACCTTAAAACTCTTCTTTTGATTTAGAGTCATCTTTCGTTTCAGACTTCTGAGGTGTACCCTTTTCCATATATTCTTGTTCAATAGTATCTTTGAGGATAAACAGCCTCTGAATTACCACAGGGTCAGTCATCTGCTTGGCTTCTCTCAAATCTGTTTCTTCCTTGTTCAGATGATATGCATCGAGCATGATCTTAATCCACTTGTGCAGCTCCTTTGGGGTGCTGCTTAATCACATAAAATTTAAACGAGTATATCACACCAATCACTAAAGAAAAGATATTTTTTTTAATGAACAATAGGAAACTCTCTCACGTGTACAGAGTATTAGGGTCCTTGGCTTCGAGTTCGTCACCAGGGGAGAAAGCTGTTGCCAATGCAGAGAAACGCTCTTCGGGATCTATGATGTTTAACAAATGCTTGAGTAGCTTTATTTCTTTTGGAGTAATACTCCTTAGGCTGCTCTTCGTGGCCTTGTATAATTGGTACATTATATCTTTCACCTGCACAATATAAACAAGGTTGTTGAGAACACATAATGCAGTTTAATCATCTCTTCCAAGCTTGAGCAGTCAAAATTTATGTTCCATGTGATTTACAAATCGATTTTAAATTAATACTTTAGCTGTCTGTTCTGGTATCAGCATTACATCATGAAAACCTTTCAATTTCCATCAATGCAACAACACTCATAGTCATGGACAATGTATGAATAGAATTATAATTATAATTATAATTGAGAGATAATGCAGAACCAAAAGCTAGCATTTGATCCTTGTCTTTTTTGGTTTAGGACCACAATTATCTTTTATGAGGGTAAGTGATTTGAATGTCTATCTGACTTCAATATAACATCAGCCAACATTTTCATCCAAGTCTTGTATGTTAAAACTTGAAAAATGATATGTTTATAATCCTTATATATATACACACACGAGAGGAACACATTCTACTTGGTTTTAAGTTTTATAAATCCTTATTAGTATTAGTTGAAAACAATTAGAAGCATTGATGGTCTATTTTCAAAGAGGGTTTAATAACAGTAACAAAACCACGGAGCATCGTATTTCAAATTCATACCTCATCCTTCATTGTTGTAGACTCTTTTGCTTTAGCCCAGGCACTGCTTATCAACAATATCAAAGTAGAATCAAGTTCCTTTGCCTTTGCCAGGCTTTTAATCTTTTGACAAGCAACATCAATAGAAGGAGAATTGAGGATATCATCAAATTTGGCTTGTGCAGTATCTAATGTCTCTATATTCTCTAGAGTATTATCGTATGCACTGACAGATGATAAGCATCTACTCCCCAGCCTGGCAATCCCTGTTCAACAAATACACCAATGCCAATTATAAAAAAAATCATCATACATAAGGGACAAGGTCACAATTATTAACTTTTTCAGTGTGCAAGGGGTGAGTTCACTATGAAAATTTTGCATGTAAGACTAAGTATAAACCATCAAAGCTTAATTGTATAACAATTTTCCCAAGACAAATTTCAAACACCCCATATCTTCACCCTTTATAAAAGAAGTCTGATTTTCCACCTTATTTTAAGAAAAGTTTCAAGAATCAATAGAGCAATTTTAATATGACCTTATTTTTTTCTTATTGCAAGTTGCAACTAGAAATATTCTTAACTAATAAATTTCATCTCATTCTTTCAGGTGATTACTGGCTATAGAATCAATATAAAAATCCCAGAATCAAACATTTCTTTTGTACTCCTATGTAATTACCATCACGATCCTCCAAGCTGTCATATGTATCTGAAAGAAGAGAGAGGTAGTTGAAGAATTCTCCAGTAAAATCCTTACGCCTTTGTGCAACTATGGCATTAATGTCTGTTGGGCTATCTTGTATTTCCTTGAGGAGTTCATAGTGTTCTTCCATTTCATCATCAATCTGCAATGCTTACTCCTGATCAAACAAAATTGAGGAAGAAGTTCTAAAACCAAGCAAGTGCCTAGATATGAAAGTAAATTTTGATGTATTGGTTTGTGCTTTCTAACAAAAGTAATTAATTAACAATACGAAAAATAATGTTATCTTATTATTAGTTTAACAGTAACTTGTAGGATAATGTATCTGCATCATTTCTACAAAAAATCTGGAATACATTTTTGTTTTCAACATTTTGAGCCAAAAAAGGTTTAAACCAATATTTTTTTAAAAGGTTTCTTCACCTTTTTCTAACTTTTATTTAGCAACAGAAGAATCTATTTTTAAATCAACATTGCAAGGGGCATGGTTGTGAAGAACATAAAAAAATAGAGTACTACCTTCTTGACCTTTCTCCGCAATGAAATAAACTTCTCCTTCATAATTGGGTCATTCTCCATGTCTGCCCTTCTTTGGCACCTACTGTAGAATCTATCCCTGTATTTTTTCCATTCCTCCCTAAATATCAGGTACTTCTTCCATTCCTTTGATTTGGTTTTCTCATTCAAAAAGAAATCTATCATTTTGTCACAAAATTGAGTCATAGTGTACCCATTTGCAATTTCAATCTCTTGCTCCTCAGCTTGAGCTGTGGAAGCACTGCTAGCCTGTGGACCTGAAAGGAATTTTCATTTTTCAGTGAGACACAAAATTACACCTAAAATATAGTCAGGAAAAAAAAATCAGGAACAAGATAGAAAGAAGATATCCAAAAACGAAAAATATAAAGATGCTCACTTTACACAGCCAACAATTTAATAAACTATAAAATCCAACAAATAAAATAAAATATAAAAAAGGTATATGGAACATGTCACTGTAATATCTAGTGTGAATTCAGCAGCTCTGCTCTCCCTTCATATAGTATTACTACCCAACTCTAGTGACACCCTTAACACTTCAAATAAAAGCCAAGATTTAAACTTTTCATAAACCCATGTTGAAAACATAAAAAATACAGCATATTAGGATATAAACATTGGGGAACAAAGTGATTGGATAATAGGGGGAAAACGATACTTACTTGGCAGAGAAGTGCATTGAAGAATGTGGGGCTTGAAATTCTGGGGTATAAGTTTTGGTCTTTGGTTTTGGAAGGATGGGGAGTACTTTGGAGCATTATAGGAGGAAGGGGTTATAGGGGAAAGGTTATTATTGAAAGGGATGAAGGTGGTGGCGCTATTGAAGGTTGAGGTCCAAACCTTGTACCCCTTCATATCAACTATTAACGTTGTTCCTTCAGCTGCAGCACTAGGGTGTCTCACGTTTCACTCTTCAGATGACATTCAACGAAAGCAATTTAGCCTGAATCTTGTTTTTATATTATCTTATCCATTTCATTTCATGAACAAGGCAGAGTTATGAATAAATTAACAGTAAATTTTTTTAAAAAAATTTGGTGAAATTTGTATATTTGGAAACGAATATATTCATTTATAATTATTTTCATGTGATTTCTTAAACAATGAATTAAGTTTTTTTTTTCTGCATAAATTGATCTTGAAATCGTTAAATATAGTTCATAAGAAGCAATATGTTTTGTTAAATTTTTTTTTAAAAAATAAACTTTATGAGATAACTTTTTTAAAGAATTATTTTATATAATTAATATTTTTTTTAATCATAACATTGATATCAAGTAGAGTTCTTCTAAGATATTTTACTTTATATTCAAAGTTAGGATTTAAAATCTAAATAATTTGGTTAACAAGTATAAATTATTATTATTTGTGTAACACTATATTTTATACATTTAGATAAATGAGTTGTATAAGTCTGTCTACAAAATTAATTAAAATCAAGTTAATGTTATGAAAGGAAAAAAAGAAGATAAAATAGAGAGAACAAATAAGACAATATAAGATAGGAAAACGAATTTAACTGTGTATTATTTTTTAAAAAGACTAACATAAAAGGAATAATACAATACAGAAATATAAATGATAATAATATACATTGAATATTGAGATCCACTGATTGAGTCACTAATTATTATTAATAACACTCCTATTTAGATGTCCAATACTTATAACGTGTCTCGTTAAAATTATAATAGGAAAAATTCTATGGGACAAAAACCTAGTAAAGGAAAAAAGCACATCATTCATAAATATAAAAGTCTAAATGGATCTTTGTTAACGTTTAAAGATCTTATAACCATAAGAGTGTACAACGAATATGATTTGTCTATATAAAACCTTTTAAGCACTTTTGTTATATAAGTTTCTTGATGCACAAGAATTTTATCTTCTAAATATTCAATTTGCAACCCCAAGCAAAAATTTGCCTTTCCTAAATCCTTTATTTCAAATTCTTTCTTTAGGCAAACTATTGCTTTTAAAAGTTCTTTAGGAGTTCTAACAAAGTTTATGTCATCTACATAAATTATAATTATAGAAAATTCATTTTCAAATCTTTTTATAAATATACAAAGACAAATTAGATCATTTTTATATTCTTCTTTTAACGAATATTCACGTAGATGATTATACCACATATGACCTAATTGCTTTAGTCCATATAGGAATTTATTTAACTTGATTGAATAATCTTCTCTAGAAATTGTATCGTTGGACAAGTTAAATCCTCCAATGAGTTTTATATAAATGTCAGCATCAAGAGAGCCATACAAATATGTTGTAACTGCATCCATTAGTTGTAAATTAAGTTTTTCATGTACAACCAAAATAGTTAAGTATTGAAAAGTACTTGCATCCACTATAGGTGAATAGGGATGTGATCTTGATCGCACCCTCGTGATCTCCTTTATAGGGACAGTAAAACCTTGTTTCAAATCATTTCTAAGTCTATGCTCAAACTCTCTTGTTTCAATACACCGAATAAGTGAAGATTGATCTAGTCTCAAAGGAATGATTATATCGAAAGAAGACAAATATTGTGACAAATCTCAAAGGTAGAAAATCATTGGAAGAAAAAAGCTACACTACTACATTTTAACTCTTTAGCAACATTTTCTCTCTTACATTTGTTAAAATATTACTATATATTGAATAAATAAGTTATTTTGCAACATTTTTTTTGAAAATTGTTATTATAGATAGAGTAACATTTTTATTTTAATATTATTCTTTTCAATTGTTTTCAAAATCAGAGTCTCATATATCAAGTAAAAAAAAATGTCACATAGGTTATTTTGTAACCTTTTTTTTTTTGAAAAATGTTACTATAATTACTTCTAAAATCAAAGTCGCACATCGAATAAAAAAAGTATATTCCCCTCATCTCTGATTGTTATTCATAATTAAAGTTTCACATCGAATAAATGAATGACTCATAAAGAGTATATATAATCATATAGTTATATTAAGATAAATGAACTTTGATATTTGATATATAATTAGTGGTGACTAATTAAAAATATTTTCAATCTTCTCTTAAAGAACTCCTAGAAATTTAAGAGGCATATATAATATAATAATTGATAACAATATCTAAATTAAAATTAATTATCATTTTATAAAATTAACAAAAACTTAGCAACATCATTAAAATATAACAAAAATATTACCTTGATAACATTTGAAAAATATTACCTAATTGTATAAAAATGTTATTAATTTGTTTTAGCAACATTTATACACAATTAGGTAACATTTTTCAAATATTACTAAAACTTTTTTATGTTGTAGTGCTAATATGTACGGATTAACGTCAATTATCCTAACTAAAATGCTATACAAATTAATAATGAAATGTACTAACTCTTTAAGAATAATTTGACATTAAATATTGATATTCATGTGTATAATTATATACTTAGTTCTTAAGTAAAATCTACTAAGGGTGAGCATCGGGCTAGTTCGAATGGATTCGGACCCAAAAAGAACTTAATTCAATGCAAACTAATCATCAAAAAAACATAGTTCAACTTTGACCGTTAAGCTTTCAATTTGTGACGATTTAATTAGGTGGTTTAGGTGGTATTGGGTGGTTTACTTCACAGATCTTTCATTTAAAAAATAACTTTGCAAATTTAAATAACTTTGCAAAGGAACATGTTTTTGTTGAGATACAAACAAGTCTCACATCAACAAAATAAGACAAGAAATAATAACTTATATAACATAAACATACTTCAATGAAAGAGAAGTCTTTTAGGTAATGACAAAAAATAAAACTGTGAGGGTTTAGTCCCAAAGCGGACAATATCTTGTATAATAACCCCTCATAAAAAATATATCCCCTCGCATAAAAGATAAGAAATAACAACTTATATTAACACAAACATACTTCAATGAAAGAGAAATTTTTTGGGTAATGACCAAAAGCAAAATTGTCAACTTATATAACACAAACATACTTCAATGAAAGAGATGTCATTTGGATAATGATCAAAAGCAAAATTGTGAGAGTTTAAACCCAAAGCGGACAATATCTTATTATTGTGAAGTATGTTTGTGTAATAATTCCTCATAAAAGAATATCCTCTCAGATTAATATCATAAAATAACCCAATCAAATTTAAGATAGGCAAGACATCCTGATAGAGGAAAGGTGAAGATGAGGTTAATCAGAGAAGAAATTTGAAGATGGGGTTGGTTGAAGGTTCTCGGTGTGAAACACCACCACCATCGACAACAATGGTTACCACCGGTCCTTGTCATCATTGTTAGAAAATAAAACTTTGGAGTCCAATTGTGATTCTTGTCGGGCGGAAGAAGTTGGAAACCAATAATGTTGTGAGTGAGAGAAAAGCCATTTCTCAAGAGAAGAAGATGTGATTAAACTTTAAGTTTTACAAAAAAAAAAAATTGTATAAACTAAGAATAGAATATCGTGAGAGAAACTTTTAATTCTCTAAACAAAATAATAATTAGTTTTGTAAAATATAAAAAATTTGAAATTGATGTCGACTGTATTCAAATAAATTTAAATGTCTTATTTTATAGGTTAATCGAGTGTGGATTCCAACGAAATCTTTTCTCTTACTCACATCCACCTGATAACAACCGTAAAAAAATCATTTATTTTTATTTTTTTAATCCGACAATTGAAACTAAGTTACCCGAAAAATGAAATTCGGCCTAAGGTTTTATCGGGTTGGGGTTGGATCGGTAATTTTATCCCAAGCCTAAAATCTACCTAATCAAATGCTCTGCTATGTATAGTTTTTCCTCATATCATATAGGAGCTATTCAATTAACTGAGTTGGATTATTCATAAAATTATTTTTATTTAATTTTATGAATACTTGGTTGAGCCTAATAATCATTTGTTTTACTAAATATATATATATTATAGTTTTCACCGTAAAATTGATTTAAGTTTAAATTTTATATGATTAACATATAAGAACTCATGTCATGATGAATAGCTTGTTTAATCAATCATGTATGTGAATAAGGATAAAAGAGTATATATATATATATATATA